TTTTCGCTTATAATAACGCACCTCTCCCTCCCTCCCCCCTCCCGCTCTTCCCCTCCCCTGCTCCTCTCAGAACGATGGTGTACCATACACATGAAATATATGCTATTTTTTGAAATATAACTTTATCAACTACACATACTAGCTTTTTTTACACGCAATTTCAATATTTTTGTACAGCAGGGAATATTCTCTCACCTGGAAACAACAAATGTGTGTATTCTAATTTAGTTGTAACCCCATTACGTTACTACTGCTAATTGCACGAAGAGGAAAACCTGTCTAAAGCCTGTATCCAAATATGACCAATCTTCATGGGGCGCGATCATTTGCACATATTCCGGTAAGCCACTGTTCACAACCGCCAGCATTTTCAATAAACACACATACTGCTTATCGACCACCTGGCCGAATTTGAACTGAAAAACATGACAATAATAATCAGCTTTCTTGTCCAGATTTTAGCAGATGCAGTACCAACAGAAAACCAAAAATCCAATTTTGTGCTTTCACTTTCTGGAAAGGCTTTTTAGATTTTCAACTTATTTGACTGGGAAAACTATTATCGAAATTCATTCAGACTATCGGCAAATAATCATTTATTATCATGTCAAAATTTCTTCCAAAAAAACCAATCCAGATTTCCATCAGATGAATTGGAAAAAGCTAGGCTGCAACGCACAGGCCTGTCGGTGAGGTCATGCCTTTTTGCGATAAAATTGAAGCAGTCAGGTTGTCAACTGTGTCAATGGTTGTTACTTTACATTTCACTCATGCGCTCATCAGCGTAAATCACTGTAAATTTTGCATAAGGGAAAATGGCAATTTCCGTTGACCGGTGGTTCACTAAAAATGACTGAGTTGTTCGATGAGCAATTTTCTGCCAAAATTCCGTGCTCTGTACGTGAGAATTTCGCGTGTTTGGGAATTCAGTTTGAAACTTTTAGATCGCAGACGGACAAAGAACATCTCAAAATTACAGTTTCCTAACATGCCTGGTTCCCGAGTTAGCAATTTTCCTGGCAAAACTTTCACGTGTCCATACGTTAGAGCCACTCGCATTTGGGAAATGAATTTGAAATGTTTAAACTGCATGGGCAGTGAACATCCCTTTAAAATTTCAGCTTTCCAGTTGTTCTGGTCTCCGATTTTTAAGGTAGGGCTTGGCCAGAGCACCCACATACAAAAATTTTAGCTTCAAAGCTAGCTTGATTGTCGAGTTAAAACAGACAAACAAACACACAGTGGGTCATCACGACATGCATTTCTGTACTTGCATGCATGCGAAAACGCATAACCAGTCAGTCATCCGAAATTACCTAATCTAATACAATTAGAACAGTCAAAAAACAATTAGAAATAAATTTTTTTAAGATGAATTTCCAAAAAAAGAAACTTACTTCAACAATAGCTGATAAAGTACCTTTCTCCAAATATCGTCCAACGAGGCCAATTTTTTTATTATTTGGATCTTTCAGGACTGCAGCTAATGTCTGCTCGAAAATCGACTGCGGCGATGAGTCAAGTGCATAATTGGAGAATGATATTGGCCTATCGGTCATAATCGACCGGCGCCGATTTCCAACAACTGTTCGCAGAAATTCCGCATACATTTGCAATAATTGCTAGAAAAAAAAAA